GGGGGTAGGGGGGGGAGAGAGAGACATTCAGTCATTCGAGGTGGCGGGATGTAAGCTCACCAGGCATATTGGCCACGTAATCGTCAACTGCTGCAGGCAGCCCAATCAGGCCCCTTCAACACACCGCCCCGCACACACACAAACACACAAACACATCAGTATGTCCATGGCACACCCAATCAGACCTTAGGTAGGTACCGTGCTGCGGCCCTGTAAACGTCGAATGCGATCCTCTTAACGTTCTCGTAGCTCAGGTACGAGGGCAGAGACACCTGATAAGCACATGTGGGTGTGTGTGGTGTGTGTGTTGGGGGAGGGGGATGTTCTGATTTACCTGGCCACTGTCGAGTGCATCGGCCATCTGGTAGACAAACGCGGCGAAATGGTCATCTGCACACACACAGAGAGGGAGGGAGAGAGGGAGAGAGGGAGGGAGGGAGGGAGTGAGACAGTGATGTGTGTGTGTCTGCGGAACTCTGTCACCTTGGATGTCAATCATCTCGAACTGGCGCGCCAGCTCTCTCAGCTCATCCGCCCTGTCAACACACACACACACACAGAGAAAAAGAGAGAAAGAAAGAGAAAGACATAAATTTCTCTGCACACACTTCACACACACACACACACACAGGCGCACCTGAGCTTTGCGAGTATGGTGTCGAAGAGAGCGGTCGGAGAGGGGAGTGGCGAGGAGACACCAAGTCTGTAAGTCTGCACCGTGGGGTGCGCCCTGCCCCTGAAGGCCATGTACTGCGTGTTCTTGCCAATCAGACCTTTCCACACAAACAAAGAGACACGCAAATACACTCCTCTCTCCCTCTCTCCCTCTCTTCCTCTCTCTCCCTCTCCCTCTCTCTCTCTCTGTGTGTGTGTGTGTGTGTGAGTGGACATGCCGACCGTATTCGGGATGGGCAGCGAGGATTGGGAACGGCGATTGTGAGGTGGAGATGATCACATGGGCGCCGAGGTACTCGATGACCCTTTCGACACGCTGGCAGTCGTGTGTGCACTCGCTGCGCTTGCTGTAAGTCGTGACGACGGTCGGCACTGCACACACACACACACACACACACACACAGATCTCTGTCTCCCTCCCTCCCTCCCTCCCTCCCTCCCCCCCTCTGTGTGTGTGTGTGTGTGTTTGGTGACTGCCCGACCGTCGCTGTCGATGAGCGCATTGAGTGTCGGCTCCCACTGGTCGAAGTGCCGATGGATGTTGGCGTTGAAGATGAAGGCGGCTGACGGCCGGTCCTACACACACACACACACACACACGCACACGAGCAACAACACAATCAAAGAGACTTGTTGTGTGTGTGGGAGGGAGGGAGGGAGTGGCCCGCCTCACTTTGCCTTTGCCCGGTCTGTTAAAGCGGTGGTACAGCCCCTGGTGGCACCGCAGAGACAACCGGGGGTGCCGATTCCCACACCTGAACACACACACACACACATGCACACACATGCCCCTCCCTCTCTCCTTCTCCCTGTCTCTGCGCACGTGGTATCGTGAAAAGGCTCGCTGAAGAAGACGTTGAGCGTGATGTGCCCGTCGGTGGCGAGCCGCCGGGGCAAAGCCTCCCAGGCAGACCGCATCTCGTCGCTCCTGACACCCACACACACCTGCGATGGACGTGTGTGTGTGTCTCTCTCTTTCTCTCTGTGTGTGCCTGCCTGCCTGGTGGCCCCGATGATGTCGAAGGTCACTGAGCTGATCCAACGGAAGGCACAGACACACACACACAGAGAGAGAGAGAGAGAGAGAGAGAGAGAGACATTGACACACATTGACACACAAACACACAAACACACACACATATCCACACGGGTCAATGCTGACCCGTCATCTGAGTCGCTGGCGTCGCCCCCCCAGCCCCATCCCCATCCCCAGCCCGTCTGCCGGTGCAGCTGCTCCAGCGTGAACAGCAGCGTCAGCGGAAATGACAAGGAGAAGGCCTGCAACACACGCGCGCACACAGACAGACAGACAGACAGACAGATAGAGATAGAGGGAGGGCGGGAGGGGGGAGAGAGAGACATCCACTCATTGTGTGTATGTGTGTGTTGCGTGAGCGCTTCTCTGTCTCGTGTGTGTCTCCCCCCCCCCCCAAT